CTACCCAGCTCTCCTCATCCACTCCCCTTCCCCCTACATTTGCTCAGCATCTACGCCAGGAAGGGCCATGCCCCCGCCCGGGATGTGGCAGCCACAGGCCAGGGCCCTGCCCACATGGAGCTGGTAACTTGGCCAAACTGCGGCTCTGCCTGGAGCGAGTGCTGTGAGGTCCCGTGGGCTGTGCCTGCCCTGCAGGTGTCCTGGGGGGCCTCAGGGAGCAGCATTTGGGGAGGTGACTGCAGTTTGGAAGGCTGTCAGCAGGTGGAGAGACCTGAGGGTGCGCTGAGGGAGGAGTGAGGGTGATCAGGTCTCTGGGCCTGGGGACAGGCGGGGTGCATCCCAGGAACTGGAGATGGCACTGAGGAAATGATGGTGCATTTGCATCTTAAAAGATCGCTGGGGCCTGGAGGCTGCTGGCTGGAGCTCCTTTGCAATAGGAGGTTGGGGGAGGTTTTCCAGCCCAGCCCTCCTACTTCCACTGGTGCTCCCAGGAGCTCTGCCCTCAGCCTCTGTCCTCTGGACTTCAGTGCCTAAAGGAGTGTGAGTGGTGGGAGTCCTGGTCCCTAGCAAGGTCCCCAAGGCTGCTCTGGAAGGCTCTGTGCCAGTGACACCTTCTCTTGGCTGCGTGTGCATGACCAAAGCCCTTCGAGTGTCCTGCAGTTAGGAAGCGTGCCCATTCCTGGCCCGCAGGTGGCCCAGTCCTCTGTCCAGGGGGCCCAGCTCCCCACTCAGAGCAGGAGCCTGCAGTACCTGCTGCTGGGGGCTGGGGGAGGGATCTGAGCTCCAGCCTGTTACCCCCAATGCATGCATGCACAGGTTTCCCCCAGCGCACACTTGCACTCCCTCTCTCTCTGGTCCTTGCTGGCTCTTTCACTCTCATATCTCTATTGCCTTGTGCTGTGTGTGGTGTGTGTGTGCGGGGGGCGGTGGGAGCGGGGGATTGGGGGCCACAGGCCAGGCAGCCAGGAAGGATGTGTGTGAGCCCCAGGGCTCCGGGACGGGGTGGGGGACCGAGGCTGAGGGACCCACTGGGAACGGACTGTCCAGTCCACTCCAGTGGGCCTCGGGCTTGTGGCATTTTTCTATCATGTTTATTTATTGCATCCATTCATGTTCTGAAATGAATGACACCCACCTATAGAGGCTTAGCCGCCTCACCCATCACCTTTGTCTCTTGGAAAACAAATATCAGCGTTAAGGACCCTCTCATTTCCTGTCCCGAGCCAGTCAGTCACTCTGGGACTCCTGAAGAACAAACTGTCAGTGGCCACGCCTTTCCTTTTATAAAATCCTAAACTATAAGGCCAGGGCGTTTCCCCCCATCCCCCACCCCCTCCGTCCCCACCGTCATCAGGAAACAAAGAATGTTTAGTTTTAGGGCTGAGCCCCATGCACTGTTGGACACTAGGGTTCTGCTCCAGACAAGTCAAGGGTCTCCAGCCTCCCTGTTTCCAGGATAAGGAGCGGCACACGCAGGGCCTCGACGGGTCTGGACTCGGTTCACAGCTGAATGCCCCTCCTCTGCCCCTCCCTGTGCCCCGCAGCTGCGGGGCCTCGGCCTCCGCCATTACCCCTCACCCTCCCGACCCTGCGTCCTCTCTCCCCTCACCCTCTCCACCCTGCGTCCTCTCCCCACCCCCATCTTCCTGGTGGAGACCTTGGTGTTGGGGTGGGGATGGGGGTGGAGCAGCAGGAGTGGCGAGTGCAAGTGCAGTCCTCCTGGATGTCGCCCCCGTCCTAATCCCAAATCCGCCTCCAGTGAACTTCACACCCTGATCGCTTGGGCTGGGGCTAGGGGTGCTCGCCTGGTCCCACCCAACTGATAAATGGAGGTGACCCCGCAGGATTCCTTACTGTTCCCAGAACCCCCAACTGATGCGGGCACCAATTCCACTAGGAAAGCCGGGCGGGGACGGACGTGAAAGTAGATGCTTCCCTGCCCGCCTCTGTCCTTGGAGGGGTTGGGGGTGGAGGGACCCCTTCTCTCGATGGCTCACTTTTCATCCCCCCCATCAAGGTGGGACTTGGGGGTGGCTTTGGCCCTGGGTGGGGTCTGCATAGGGGACTCTGGCGAATCCAATCCCATGGGTACCTTGGGCATTGTCAGGGGCTTGGGGGCACCGAAGAGAAACAGAAGAGAAACTCGTCTCGCTTCTAGGGTGACCCAGTCAGGTTCAGCCTGGGGAGCCCCTCCCTGGCCCCTGACCCAGCAGCTGGGGAAGGATAGCAGTGGCGGGGCGACCCCTGAGTCCCGGAGCTGCTCAATCTCCCGCACCTCCACCTCGGTTGCCTCCTCTGAGAAGTGGGTGAAGCGCAGCCCAGCAAAACGACTGCGTGGGAAGCGTTCAGAGTGTGCTGCATGCGGGTCGGAGCCGGGAACTCCGGGAGGGTCATACTGCACGGCTGGGGACAGCGGTGTGTGCGCGAGTGTGTACATGGGCACATGCGCGTGGGTGTGTGAGTGTGGGTGCGCGCATGGGTGTGTGCTTGTGGGTGTGTGTGCGTGGGTCTGTGCTTGCAGGTACACACACCTGCGCCGAAGAACCCGGGACGCAGCCGCCCTTCCTTGGTTTTGCCGGTTCGTGTTTTCTGAGGTTTCTACCAGAGCCTGGTCTTGCAGCAGGGGAGGCGCTGCCAGCTCTACCCGGCCTAGGCTGCCGGTGGGCACTGGGAAGGGTCTGGGGGAACCTGCGCTGGCACCAGGCCTCGATCTGCAGCTGGGGGTTAGGGGCTGAGCTTGGGGCGCCAGGGAGGGGTCACCAGTCGTTGGGGACAGGCCATCCCCGGCCATGGAGAACAGGTCAGCGTATCTGGGCGGGGCGGGCATCCAGGGCTCCTTTGTAGTTAAACTGCGCCCCCCAGACAGCTGGGCTCCATCCAGGGTCCATGGATGGCGTGCAGGGGCTGTGACTGGGTGGGAGCTGCTGCATCTTTCTCCTGAAAACATCTCCGCAGTGATGGGTGCGGAGGCAGCGCGCGGCTGAGTGGGCAGCACCTGCCACTGTCACCCAACAAGGCTCTGCTTCTGGTCCTTGTGGTAGATTTGTGGAAATTTCCTGTGGGCCCATCCTGGAGAGACCCGTGCTCCTCTTGTTCATCCAAGCCTTAGTGGAAAGACTGTCAAGCCGCTGCCCTTTGGTTCTGAATGATCTGGGTAACCAGCTCCATCCAGGTGTGCCCCTTGGAAGTCTGGTGTGTTCTGTCTCATGTGTTGAGAAACCTGTTCTGAGAAGGCCGTGGGTTTTACCTGCCACTGGAGGCCAACAGCTCTGGCAGGTCAGGGCCACCCCCCACTGTTTGGGTTCCCTGGGGGTTGGGGGTGGACTTGGCTAGAGGGAGGCTGATGATGTCACAGACGGGGGAAAGTCTGGACTGACAGGCCACAGAAAATTTCAGGCCCCAACAGCCAGGGAAGTGGGGAACTGGCTTCTCTCACCCCGTGTTCCATGGTAGGGACCCCTGAAGAGTGGTGGTGGTGGTGTTGGGGTACCCCAGGGAAGCAGGGGGCAGGGTCCCAGCTGCCTCCCCACCCCCAGGGGCTAGGAAGATGACGGTAGGACCCAGTCCATCTGAACCTATTTACACCAACCCTGTTCTAATTGCAGGAGGGCCCTCCTCTCACTGAGGGTCTCCTCTCACTGAGGGACCTTGCAGGGAGAGTGGCACTGGAAAAGCCGGCCCAGTCGAGGGCATGTGCCCACACTCTCCAGAGGAGACAGAGGCCGGGTGATCTTAGACCTGCACTGAGGGTCCTGGGAACGTCTTGCTGGATTTCAGGGCCTCCTGGGATTGCAGCCCTGTGCACCCCTCTCAGTCCCACCCTGTTCCAGCTCCACTGCAGCTGGGGGGACTCAGGAGCTGGGCGGTGGCATTGGTGTGGTGTGGAGGGGACAGCAGGTGAGGAGGCCGCTCTGGTGGGGAGTGAGCCTGGGTGTAGGACCCTTGGGGATCCTGGAAACACTGGCCCCAAAGGAAACCCCCAAAGAGTGGCCAGCTTGGGCCCTAGATCCCATAGTGTGGGATCCCTAGGTCATGTACCCTTTGGCCTCTTTCCCTCTGACCTCTGCCACTCCTGGCTAGACCTGGGGCCACAGAAAAGGTGTTGCATTACCCTTCACAAGCACAAACAGAAGGCGTTGGCCATTTACATAAAATGCCAGGGCTCCAGGGGAGAGGGAGGCCCCACCCCACCCCACCCAGGAGCTGGTTGACCACAGTGACACTCAGCTTCAGCTGTGCCTGCTGAGGGCCCTGCACAGAGGCCAACCTGCGCCCTGTCCCTGGGGTTCCTCAAACTCACCCGGGACAGGGAGGCATGGGGGCACCAGGCCCCTCCTGCCAAGGAGTCCTCTGGTCAGATGTGCCACCAGAGACATCACCACCTGAATCCTGGATTTGCAGCAGGGTCACTCTAAGAGCTGCCTGGAGGTGCAGATCCAGGAGCCCTGGGCTGCAGGGATGGGAGCCTGGAACTCAGCACCACTAGAAATGCTCCCACGACGTGGCTAGGGTTGCCAAAGCCAGGGCTGTGTTTGCATAGAGGACCAGAGAAAGAATGAAACAGAACACTAGGCTGGGAGAGGAGCAAGCAGAGGCAGAGAAGGCCAGTTTATTCATTGTGCGAGGCACGTGGTGGGCAAGGGTGGCTGATGGCTTGGAGGAGAAGGGCAGGGGGGCCCAGGGACCTCCTGTGGTTGTGGGTGACTATTCTGCCAGGGAACACGTGGGGCCCCTCAATAATAGGAGAGGGCTGTCTCGTGGTCGCCTGGGCCTGGCTTGGAGGCAGTGGATGGGTAAGCCATGGTTGTGGGGTATGAGGTCAGCCAGCTTGCACACTGCGGTGTGCACCAGTGTGGTGTGTACCAGTGTGGTGTGTACCAGTGTGGTGTGTACCAGTGTGGTGTGTACTAGTGCGGCATGTACTAGTGCATGTGCTGAGAGGTCAGCAGTGGGAGAGGTTGGGGGAACCTGAGCCCGGCTCGTCCTAGGGGACGTGCCCGTCAGTAGCTGGGCTTCTGGCCTGAGCAGAGGCCTCAGCAGGCCAGGCGGAGCACACAGGGCGGCAGAGGCGGGACATGCATGAGGCCAGGCAGCAGTGGCTGAGCTGGCAGGAGAAGGTGGGCACACAGCAGGAGGGGACGGGCACGCAGCAGGTGGGTCTGCACACAGGGCGGCAGAGGAGGGACATTGAGGAGGAGGGTCTGCAGCAGGAGGAGGTGCAGCAAGCTGGCTGGCAGCTAGACTGCTGGCAGCACAGAGAGGAAGCCCCAGAGCACACAGGCACACAGCAGATGGGCTTGCAGCAGACAAGCTTGCAGCAGATGGGCACGCAGCAGGCCTACTGGCAGGGGGAGGAGGTGCAGCAAGCCGGCTGGCAGCTAGACTGCTAGCAGCACGAGGACGTGCGGGAACTGGTGCAGCCTGATTGGCAGGGGCTGGGCTCACAGGCTGCCTGGCAGCAGGGGCTGGACACACAGCTCACTGGGGTGCAGACCAGGGTCAGGCAGGAAGCCAGAGCACAGCAGCTGGGGGTACAGCAGGGGGGCTCACAGCAGCTCTCTGGGCAGTTGTCCACCTGCCAGGAGTCAGAGCAAGAGTCACAGGGACCAGGAAGGCAGACGCGGCTGCCATAGCTCAGGTCACTGGAGAATATGGATATGGTGGACGTGGCCATGCTGGGAGTTGAGCTGGGGGAGATGGAAGAGAGTGGGTGAGGGTGTGGGGGGGAGTGGGGGAGGGAGTAGGGGAGGGGTGGGGGAGGGAGTGACAGAGGGAGTTGGGAAATTGAGGGGAGAAGGAGGAAGTGGGGCAGGGGTGGGAGAGGAGTGGGGGTGGGGGGAGTGGAGGGAGTGGGTGAGGGAGTGGGGTAGTGGGTGAGGGAGTAGGGGGAGAAGGTGAGGGAGTGGGAGTAGGTGAGGAAGTGGAGGGGCAGGAGGGAGTGGAGGAGTGGGTGAGGGAGTGGGGGTAGTGGGTGAGAAGTTGGGGGAGAAGGGAGGGAGTGGGGAGTAGGCGGGGTGGGGGAGCAGGGGGAGGGAGTGGGAGTGGGTGAGGGAATGGGAGAAGTGAGGAAGTGGAGAAGTGGATGGTGAGGAAGGGGAGGAGTGGGAGGGAGTGAAACTGTGAGTGGGGGAGTGCAGGGGGTAGTGGGTGAGGGAGTGGGGGAACGGGGAGGGTGGGGGAGAGAGAGAGTGTGAGAGCGCTTGGGGCTGGGAGCTTTTATATCCCTATGTGTTGGGTGTTGTATTAGCAGAGGCTTGGGGGGGGGGGGGGGGGGGGGGGGGGGGGGGGTGGGGGAGGGAGTGTGAGGCGCTTGGGGCTGGGAGCTTTTATATCCCTATGTGTTGGGTGTTGTCTTAGCAAGAGGCTTCTCAGTGTTCCTCTTTCCTTGTTGGTGTTTGGAGCCGGTTCTTGGGAACCGCTCATCAGGGCTGGTTTATTTTTCCGGAGAGGCTCCCCCCATCATAAAAGCCCTGACTGTGCTGGGTCTGGGCTGGCAGGTCCTGACTGGGCCTTCTCAGTGGGTAGGGAGGATCACGCTCCAGAGTGTGAACACTTGGGTGCCAGGCTCTCATCTTGGGGGACCCAATGAGGGGGTGACTTGGACTCTGAGCTCACAGAATGGCTCATGCTTGAGCCCCGCTCTGGGGCCTGGAGCCCTTTCTGTTTGTGTTTGTCGCCAGGTCTCTGCAGGTGAAGGGAGGGTGGTGATTCCAGTGGTGACTGTGGTCCACTGTTCCTGCCTCAGGCTGCGCCCTGGATGTCTGAGTGCTGCCTGGGGTGCCAGCAGCCCACGCGATTTTTCTGCCAATTGAGACACGTGGGCTCCAGGTCGTGGGATTGTGTTTGTGGGCAGGGGACCAGGTGGGCTGGCATCCGGCTCAGCAGCAGCCGCCACACGGAGGTGTGAGTCCCTTCCAGCCATACCTGCTCACAGCGCCTGTGGTGCAGGCCCAGCAGGGGTTCAGCCAGGTGTGTGGCCGCGCTGCATGTCACAGGCTGGGGGCTCTGGAGGCCTCGTGGGCTTGGCTTTAGCCTCTGCTGCCTGCCAAGGAGGTGGTTGGCGTTGCGTCTGCATCTTCTTCTGCCACGTGCGTGAGCACAGACCCTCATGCCCAGTGCACCTTTCCTGGGGGCCAAGCCGAGGCATCTGTCCACGGGCCCTTGGACAACCCCTGGGCTGCTCATTGGTGGTCAGAAGACAGTGACTGATGCTCTACCAGAAATGAAAGTTGTAGTGTCCACTCTTGAGGAGGCAGTGGGCAGGCACCCCTGCACTCAGGCTGCCCAGGCCCTGGGCTAGCAGGACAGAGACAGCCACCTGTGGGCAGGCAGGGAGCGAGGAGACTGCACTGCAGCAGGCAGCAGGTGCCTGTGGGGCACACAGGGGCAGCTGGAACACCACAGCCACTGGAGGGTGGGAGCCCAAGGCAGGGAGGCCCTGCAAGGAGGCGAGGCAGTTAGGTCCTTGAAGACTGAGAGCACCTTCGTCTGCCAGGGGTTGAAGGGGCTAGACCTGACCCATTAGAGGGCTGGGGCTCTATTTCGCGATTGCTATTTCATTATTACTGTCGTCTCAAAGACGTTTTAAACCAGAATACCCGGAAATTGTGCAAGTTACGTCGATCATACAATGCTTCACATACATTTGCAGAGTTTCTCGTGGCAGCTCTAATAAATCATCACTAACTTGATGGTTTAAAAAGCAGAAATGTATTCTATTATTCTGGAGGCCAGATGCCTGGGAGCAGTGTTACTGAGAGAGAGCGAGGAGTCCGCAGAGCTGCGCTCCCCGCCAGAGGCTCAGGGAGGCCCCTTTGTTCCTCTTCCAGCTTTTGCTCAGTGGGGTGGATGGTGGCCTCTGCCCACATCACTTCAGTCTCCGCCCCTGTGCTCACACGGACACCGCCTCTCCCCGGTGAAGTTTCTCTGCCTCCCTCTCATAGGAACATGCGTGACGGCACTAGGGTCTCCCTGGCTAAGGCAGGATCATCTCATATCTCAGGGCTCTGAACTTGGCTCAGAGATAGAAGACAGAGAACACGGATCTCGCAGAAGGACAACAGGGCAGGAGACGCTGGAGGCTGGAAGGACAGGGCAGGGATGATAGGGAGAGACTTGTTGAAGGACACGGAATTGCAGCTGGTCAGGAGGGGCACGTGCTAGTATTCTATAGCAGGGGGTCCCAACCCTGGTACCGGGGACCACTACGGCTATGGCCTGTTGGGAATTGGGCTGCACAGCCAGAGGGGAGTGGCAGGTGAGTGAGGGTTACCGCCTGAGCTCCGCCTCCTGCCAGATCGGTGACAGCACTGGATTCTCAGAGGAGCATGAACCCTGCTGCGAACTGTGCGTATGAAGGGTCTATGTCGCTCCTTATGAGAATCTAATGTCTGATGATCTGCCACTGTCTCCCCTCACCCCCTGATGGGACCGTCTAGTTGCAGGAAAACAAGCTCAGGCTCCCACTGATTCCACATGGTGGTGAGTTGTATAATTATTTCATTATATATTACAATGTGATAATGGAAATAAAGGGCACAATAAATGTAATGTGCTTGAATCATCCCCAAACCATCCCCTCCCCTGTCTGTGGAAAAGTCGTCTTCCGCAAAACTGGTCCCTGGTGCCATAAAGGTTGGGGACTGCTCTTCTAGATAGCACTGTAGGATGACTGTAAATCAGCAAGAATATATGGTTTCACGTTGCTGGAAGGAAGGTATCGAATGTTCCCCACAGAAACAGTCCGTGTTTGAGGTGATGGGAGCTCTGGGCCCCCAGACCTGACCACTTCACGCTGTCCCTATGGAAGCATCACTGGAACTGCATGGATATGTACAACAATGATGTGTCCATTTAAAAAATGTTCAAGGATCTTAATCAGCAACCTGTAGTCAATCTGCAAAGTGCTTTTTCTCACTATAAGGGCAGATTCACAGCTTCTAGGGATGAGGCTGGGGACATTGTCTGGGGGAGCGTCATTTCACCACCACACCTTCTTTCCCGGTGTTCTGTTGGTTTCTGCCTCTGTCCACCTCTCACCCCTCACTTGACTTGTGTGACCTTGGAAGATCACCCTGTGGGCTGCGGGCTCCTCTTCTGCAAGACGGGCCATGGTCCACCCACCCCACAGGGCCACGTGAGGATTATGTGGTTCAAAACAGGTCACGAAGCCTTCCTGAAGGTCAGCCACTGTTTTTATTGGCCACGAGGCAGTATCGAGCTGAACAGTGATGCCTGAATTTCCTCTCAAGCCTGGAAAGCCTGGGATGCCCTGAGGTGGAAGGTTTCACTGCTGTAGGTGGGTTTGACCGGACACTGCTGCCGGGCTGAGGCTTCAGGGCCCCCGGGAGTTCCTTAACCATGAAGTTCCCACTGCCCAGCCCCAAGGCAGGTTCAAACCACTGACTTCATGGATATGGTGAAGTTCTAACAAAATAGAAAGCCTCACGCGGCACCCCCGGGGCTTCCAGGCCCTGCTCACCGTGTGCTGTTTGGTTGGGAAGGCGGGGCTCTGGGAAGTCCCTGCTCCCTCCGCCCTTCTCGTGTGGACGTGGACTGGCCTCCTCTCTCTGGTCCTTCAACAAGGAGGGACTGCAGGGATGGGCTGAGGGACTGCACGGGGGGCGGCAGAGGAGGGGCCCCAGCAAGCACAGCAGAATGGCTCTCCCTGCCAAACACACGTGGCACCCAGCACGGCCCCCAGCCTTTCAGCCGCCGGCCCTTTGCTTCCCGCTCTCTAGCCCTCCCTCATGGTGGTGGAACCCCGGACTGAAAGGCACAGCGTCTTCTAAAGTCGCCAACTTCTTCCTATCTTTCTCCAAAATCAGCATCTTCTCCTGGACAAAGAACATGCTTTCTTCCAAAAACAAATTCTGTAGAGGAATCTCTGTTGTCACGGGGCACTCTCAAAGCATGGGCGTCTCCCAGGATGCTCTCACCTGTGGACATGGCTGTTGACAGCCCTGCTGGCCCAGAGCTGTTGAGCAAATCAGGGGCCAAAGTCACCCTAAGCTAAAGAAATGGTGGTGGGGAGAGGCAGGGCAGACCCTGAAGATATCTGGCAGCTCAGTGAAGATGGCAGGGTAGGGGACGGGGTGGAGTCCAGCTGCCCCAGCCGGTCAGGGGAGAGGGTAGTTTGGAGGAAGATGCTAGCTCAGCTTCACATGTGCCCAGGTGCAGCTTCCCTTCGGTCTTGGGGCACATCTGGAGGCCGCCGTAAGCGTGGCTGGGAGCCCAGGGGAGGCACTTGGACGGAGGCCTGGAGGTTGGGGGCAGGGAGAGAACACACATAGAGGAAAGTCAGAGGAATGGGCGCAGGAGCTGAGACAGACGCAGCCCGCAAGCCGGGGGAGACGGTGTTACAGGGCCAGGTGCAGCAGGGGCCAGCCGGCAGAGGGAGGGACAGAGGGACAGCGACCTACCTCGGCATTGTCAGGGGCTTGGGGGCACCGAAGAGAAACAGGAAGAGAAACTCTCGCCTCGGCTTTTGTGGGTGACCAGCCTGTTCAGAAACTCTGGAGCTTCCATACTTAAACACCAAAAAGAAACACAAGAATGGAAGAGGGAAGAGTGGCACATCCCTGAAGGTCCTGAGCAAAACAGACACTTCACCACCGCAAGCTTCCGGTATGGGGTGGTGGCAATGCTAAACACGAGATCATCTAAAATAAAAGA